GCCTTTCTAGACTGGTAAGCACCAGGGATATCTGCACTGCTTTCTGGAATAAACAGAAGCTGTAAAGATGCTTCAGTGTGAAGTTTGAATACTGGACCCATCACAAAATTACACATCCAAAGAACAGCACTTCAGGAGCTCTGTGCTTAGGCAGAACAAGGGTGCTGATGCAACAGCCAGGATTGCACTCATGGAGCTGCTAAGCAATGATTCCATACACTGGACAATTTACTGTCAAGGGAATTCTCACAGCTGGCATTCCCCAGAATTACTTCAGTGGAGCCTGCTCACCCTCTCAGGCTCTGAACATTCATCATAAAAAATCCAAAGCATTTCTAGAGAAAGTGGTACAAAGACAAATCTCCACAGCTGCACACTCATGTGCTCTGACAGCATCCACAACCCTGTGTCAATATTTGACATCTTTCCCAGAACATCAAAATGAATTTTCAACGGGCTCCCCTCCTTCTAAACATCAAGGGTATCAGAGATGTAAATGTCAATTATGTGCCTCAGTTTTATGAAACAACTGTGCACCAGCACAGCCGGAGATGATCCCCAGAAGGAAAGTCTGACACAGATCCTTTGATTCCCTTCTCCCACTGTGCTGCACTGCAACCTCCATTCCCACCATGACAGTTAAACTGATGAAGCCAGTAGAAAAATATTTTTAAAAGTAATCACTATAATCTTGAAGGAATCTCTCATGACAAGAGCCTAGAAATCCTCAAGAATCCTAAAAAGAAAGTTGTGCATCAAACCAGGCAGCCAAAAATTATAGTAACTCCAAGCAGCATTCATCATTGTGATCAAAGCTGTTTGACAGCAGCAGGCATACACTGTCAGCATAAAAGAGAGCATCATTTCTTTTAAACACCTTTCACAATGATACAGAGCTAAGAAAACAATCCTTCTCAAAGAAACGCTGCAGGAGCCATTTGGGAACTGTGACAGGAAAATTGCAAATAGGTGCCTGCAGGAGTACACATTTCCTAGTGCCAGGCAAACAGGAGATGCCTCAGCATGTTGCTTCTTCCACTCAACACCTACAGGCTCTCTTAGCTGTAGGTCCACACATACAGTGAAAAAACATCTGTTCTTCTAGGAGAAAACACATGACTGTGCATGAAACAAAGCAAAACCATTTCACTTTCAGTTCTACCTTAGGAGGAATAGGTTGATGTTGAAACACAGGAAGAGCTTACAAAGCCAAAATACAGCAACTGCTGATCTAAGGGGATTTGTTTCACGTGGCTGTCAATCCAAAGATGTTACAGCAATTACACTAAACAACCAGAAGCTACACTTATCAAGGAACATATGTGTCCTTTAAAGATGAAGGAAATAGTCCAAAATATGTGAGAGACCTGGGTATTAATAGCCCATTCTATAAAGAGCAGTAAGAGCACTAGAAACTGGCCAAAGGTCACAGTGACAGGATTTTTACCAGGAAATAGGGCAGGTTTGCAGACATTTAAACAAGAATCAACATCCACGTGTGCCATGACTGCACACGCAGCCCAGCTCCCCTGCTGATACTTCAGTGAAGCAGAATAAAAGCTCTGAGAGTTTAAAGCAAAGTGGGGAGCAAGCTGCTGAGGCAGGAGGAGTTTAAAGCCACAATGACACTGTCCTCTGGTGGGAGAAAGAGCAGAATTGCCATAATGCAGGAAGGGCTACAGCCCTTTCCTCATGTTTGCCAGCAAGGGCAGTCCAGCCAAAGCCCACCAGGGCCAAGCAGTGCCATGGTGGTGCACAGAGACAGGGAAAGCAGCAGACTGGATCAAGAGCAGAAGTCACCAAGTGCCCAAGGCAGTGCTAACAAGGCTCCCAGCTACTCAAGGGGCTGGGCTGAAGGATTCTTGGAGCAGCTGCTGCCAAGAAGGGTGTGAAAGTGACACAGCCCTATGCTCTACACTGAGCACAGTGCAGAGCTTTCCTCCTGAAAGCACTCAGGAGGCAATCCCTGCCATCTCACCCAGGTGCAAGGAGGTGCCTAGTCTGCACCACTGGCAGCTCCAGAGAGTCCTGTTCTCTTCCCAGTATAGATGAGCTAACAGCAGGATGTCAGGACATGGCTCACTACAGACACCTGGTACAAATGAAGGCAATCACAGAAGCTTAACAGACTGCTACCAAACCTAAAGAATGACACTGGATGCTGTGTGACTCAACATTTCCTTCTACATTTTATCCCTCCTTTCCCTATATCCTTCTTATCTTGTCTGGGTCAAAAAAAAATCAGACTTGTAAAACACCTGAGGAAGGGACCCTCCATGCACATACCATAATCATAACTGATAAGCTTTAGTTAAAGCTAAACTCAGCACCCTGCAACCTCTTCCAACCCCAAGCAAAGCCATCCAAAACTAAAAGGGGCTCAGACCTCCCAGAGTATTGCATCTTTGGCTAAGCCACGAGCTCCACTCACTAATCAGAAATACTTTCATGTACTTGGCTTTGCACAGTACACAGATATGCAGGTAATTCCAGCCCCCAAAACTCTGTAATCTGACACAGATAAAAAGCCATAGCAGGCCAAGAAAAAAAGGAGAAGGCAGTTCCTTGAGAAAAAAAAAAAAAAATTATAGTAAATTCTGCTCTTTCACTCATCCGGGAACTGCTAAGCAGAGAAAATGAAACCTGCCCATCTGCACACAATTCCCCTCAGCAGAGAAACCACAGACCAGGCTGGCTCTTTCCTGCTGGGGAGTTCATACCCACAGGCCAAAGGAGCTGCCTTATCAAGGAACCAGCATCTCAAGGCTGTTCTTCAACAGTCACACCAGCACTCCTTGCACCAGGCACAAAACCTGTTCAGAGTTATTGGAGACTCCCCCAGAGTTACTGGAGTCCCTTCTCCCCTATCCAATGACTTCCAAGCACCAGGCTGCCCCAGGAATGTCTCCAAAGGTGACAGTCACTAGATTTATGTGTCTGCCTGCTTCCACTCTAAACATTTTCATTCTATTACAGAAAAAATAAAACCAAAAAAACAAAACCAACCATGTTTGATCTGTCAGCTCCTCAGACTCCTGCTGAGTGTGGATGACTCCTGTCATCCTGTTACAGAGGAAAAACACAACATAGGGAAACATGGCATAAATTCCCTAATTATATATCACAGTTCCTGCTGGTTTAGGATCTAACAGAAATAAAAAGCAACACTGAGCACCTTTGCAAGGCAAACATTACCCAGAGCTGTAGTGTCCTGGTTCTGGGTTCAGGCATGCCCAAATCCCAGGAGCACAGGCTCCAGGTTGGCACAGGCAGCCCTGGTGGAGTGTTGTACACAGCTCTGCTGCCTGAGCACAGTAAGAAACTGAGCTGAACTCACAGCCTCAGCTGGCCTAATGTGGTTTTAAGAAATTGGGAGGGCAGGAACCCAACAAAACCACCTGACCAAAAATCAGTTGCATTTTTTTCTTCTTAAATTCAGCAAATGTCACCAGATGCAAAGAAGGTGCTGACAAGTCAGACCGGGAGGTTTGTCACACCAGCCTTTCTTGGTACAGGGCAGTCTATCCACAGGTTTACAATCACCTGTGCACATGCACAATGGAAGTGCTTCACCTCAGCAGGCCCCTAAACCTTGCCAGTAACCTCTAATGAAAGACAAAAGAGCTAGAAAGGAAGACAAGAAAATGGGAAGAGACATGTTGCAGAAATCCAAGGGAATAACCAGGGTACTAGAATGCTACTTTTTATACAATGCAATCCCTCCATGTTTTTGTGTAACACCAGTGGCACAGAAGAGATCTCCAAAAATGGGTGTTGCAAAGTTATCCTAAAGACACTGAATAGCACTAAAGTCATGTAAACAGATTGCAAAGGAGAGGAAAAAAACCCACACAGAAAACCCCTTCTTTTTAAATAACACCTTTTAAGATGTTATGCTTCCACAGGCAGGTGAAAACAGTTTCAGTCTGATTAGTGACAAGAAGTTATAACAGAACAAAAACCACTCTTCCCCACAGGTGGAATTTTGCAAAAAGTCCTTTACCAAAAAAACCAAATCAAAACAAAAACTTCAAAACCAATTTCCTGTCGGGGAGCCACTTTGCTCTTTCCTCCACCAAACACTTTAACCATTTTGAACAGATAACAAGTATCCCATGACAAGATTGCGCCCTAGATACTCCAAGGGACATAAAGAAAAGTTCACCGTTTCTGAAATAAACACTGACTTCCTCAATGAAGACCTTAGTGATTTAAATAACTCTGAGGTGCTACAGCTTTTTTAAAATTATTATTAAAGCTACAAAATATTATCGTTTAAAAGAAGACAAGAACACCCTCCCTGTGCCAAACGCACCAGTTTCAGAGCCAGCGTCACTTCAAGGTACAGACCATCACCAGAGCATGTGACTTACAGAAATACTCTTCTGAGGAAGAGGAGAATTCTTCTCTTATGCTCACTGTTCCCTCCCACTTCACACACACGACGCAGTCTCTGGCTCCAGCCCTCGCTCACCCTGAATCCAACACATCCGTGTGTCACCGGGAACGTGAGGGGAAACAAAGGGCCAGCCAAAGGCTCACCACCAAACAGGCAGCCACAGACAGCTTCGGCTTCGGCGAAGGCAAGGAAGCAGAGAGAAAGGCTCTGCTGAGCTGAACTGACTCATCCGTACAAATCACCTGCTCTTTCTAAACCTGCTCTTTCTTCCTCTTCAAGGATTTAGAAATCCTTGCCTTGCCTTCCCGCTGGAGCTGCCACTCCCACATGCCTTCGCTGCTGCGAGGCTCAGGGGTCCCTCCACAGCATTAACTCTTTGCACTGCCCGGCCAATACCGCTCGTGTCCGACGACTCTCACCACAAACTGAGGGCGAGATGCTGCACTTCACCACTCAGCCCAAAGGCAGAGAGAACTTTTTGTGGTTTTAGGAAATACCACTGAGCGGGAGGGAGACCGGTCCGCGACAGAAGCAGGGAGGAGGGGAGGCGCGGAGCGGCCGGATCCCGCGGGAAACGGAGCAAAGGAAGAAACAACCGCACCGCTGAAACGCAAGGCCGGACTCGGCGGGCAGAAAGGAACCGGGAGATCGGCGGGGAGGCAGAGGAGCTTCCAGCAGCCAGAAGAAAAAGCAGAACGCGCACACGGACCCCCGCAGGGTCACTTCACCCCCCAGGCTTAGGGGGCTGGAGCCGCAGCCGGCACCTCCACGCCCCGCGCGCCAGAAGCCAGCGGGCCCGACACTCGCCCCAGCCCCGCCGCGGCCACCGGCGCTTCCCGGGCGGGGCCGCGCAGCCCCGAGTCTCGGAGCGCGGCCGGAACATGCACAGCCCGCCAGCTCCCCTCCCGACGCGGTGTGGCCGCCGAACCGCTCCAGCGGCTGGGGAAGCCACACGCAGCACTCACCGTGACGCGGACCAGGCTGCGGGGCTGGTCGTGCTGCTCTCGGTATTTGAGCGCCAGCCGGGCCGGGCCGGCCCCGCCCCGCGGGCGGGCGAGCGGGAGGGCGGGAAGGCGCGGCGCGCGGCACGCGCCCGCTGCGGGCCCGGCCCAACGGCCGCGCGGCTGAGGGCGTGAGGGCCGGGAGCCGCCACGGTTCTCCCGACCGCGATCCTCCTTCTGCATCTCTGACGGGTCTCCGACCTGGTGGTGCTGCTTGGCCAAAGGCTCCTCATACCCCATGTACAGCCACTTCTCTCCCCCCGCCATATAAATGCAGTTTTATGGGCTTAAAATCACAGAACCAGTTAGGTTGGAAAAGACCTCTGAGATCGTCGGCTCCAACCTGTGGCCAAGCACCACCTTGCCAACCAGGCCATGGAGTGCCACATCCAGTCTTTCTTAAACACCTCCAGGGACAGTGAGTCCACCACCTCCCTGGGCAGCCCATTCCAATCTAATCACCTTTCCGTGAAAAAATTATTGCCAATGTCCAACCCGAACCTCCCCTGGTGCAGTTTAGAACTTTGTGCTCTCATCCTGTCACTTGCTGCCCGGGAGAAGAGGCCAGGCCTCACCTTGCTACAGCCTCCTTTCAAGTCTAGTAATACAGTCCTGCTTCAACAAATTACTGCTTAATACAGCTTTACACTTCAATGTAGCTCTGTTTAGAGCAACGCTTAGCTGGTATTCAGTACAGGCATCCTTCCTGACACATTTTCCTTCCTAACATGCCCAGTCACGGTGCCAGTGCCACGCTCAGCCTTTGGATGGCCCCACAGGGTGTGCCAAGGGTGCCTGACCTTAGGGTGCTTTTTAAAGCTTTTTAAAGTCTGGGATTCTACAAAACAGACTGAGCCAATTCTGAGTCAGGTTTGAGTCATTTTGGCTTCCCGCTAGGAATGGCGTTGGGTAAAAAAATGTCACGCAAATACGTAAATTTCAAGGAACTGAAGAGGAGTTTCTGTTTCCTCAAATAGTTTACCTTTGTCCTGCAAAGTCAGCACTGCCCCAAGCAGCACTGTCCCCCTCTCTCCCTTCTGCCCAAAGTGTGTTTCTTTTTTGAGAAACCACTGTGGGCGTTTTTATATCCTTTTATTTCTGGTATCTGAGTAATATGGATTATATATTTATATAGAACATGTGAACAACAAAGAGATGTTATCTCTTGCTTACAGAAAACCATGTGATTTCTGTACCTGAGACATGCAGAAAAGCACCACACACTCAGCAGGTTAGGAAATACTAGTTTATCCACTTTCCTGATATCCACAGGCATTCACACTCTTCCCAAGGTGCCAAGGCAAAATAGCACTTTTTCCAGAACTGCTTTCTGGAGCAGGGGGGTTTTTGTTCCTTATTTTGAGTGCTTGTAAAAAGATGCAGGCTAAGGAAGGAGGCAACTCTTCAGCATATCCCTCAAGTAATATTTATAAAATGAAGCATGAGGCCCCTTCTTCCCTGTGGCTCCAGGACATGCAGCCACATGCCAGCACTGTTGCTTTCACTCACTACAGGGTCATTTTTCTGGTAACTGCTCCATTGCTGCTGATGCTTAGGATTTAAAGCAGGAAGATACACCCAGAATCTGCTGGAATTCTTAAGAGATGTGTGACCAGGTAGAATCCTTACAGGATTAGGTTTGCATTCTCCAATACGTGTGACTTAAAAATGCAGTTGCTGACGTAGACAGCAATTTCTAATAGGTGAGGACTTTTCAAAAAAACCCTATAAAAACGTGAGGGAAGCCAGAATGGCAGGGGGCTGGAGGCATGACTTTCCCAAAGTTATTTCTCCTGACAAGTTACATTCATTGTCTTTAGCCAGGCCGAGTGCAGCCAGGAGGGCTGTATAAGATAAAATATATCTGCTGCTGCCAGAAAGAGGCTCTGCACACTTGTTAATGACCCCACGGAGCCGAGGGAACATTCCTCCCACCTCGGTGACTCCCGCGCTGCTCCTCACCTCTGCACCGAAGGGGTGGTGGTTCTGTGCCAAGGGGAACGCGCAGCTTCGTGGGCATGGAATGCCACCTGTGGAAAGGCTCAGAGGCTTCTGAAGGCTGCTTTTCAAGGGAAATGCTCACCAGGCTGAGCTCCTGGATGGGGTTTACTTGTTAGAGGGTCTTAAACGGGTGCAATTTTGCAGCTAATCTGTGCAGGAGCACTAATCTTGAAGGGCTGCCGTAGGTTTTGCCCAAGCTAGCAACAGATAAAGCTCTTCCTAGACCTGTTGTTCCATCCACAGTTTGTAAAACAGCAGAATGTCTTTGTTCCTAATTGGGATTGAGGACTAATAAATTTGCAATGTAACTTAAAAAAGCCATGATGGAAGAGTATGGATGCGAGCCAACCTCCTGTGTCCCGGAATCCAGCAGTCACTTTCCAGACATTCCATTTTTCTTCTGGCATCAAGTGAGAAATCCTCATGGACTGGTCTTTTGACAGCAGAAAAATCCCCCATCCCTGGGAAAACACAGCTTTCTCCTACTACTATTTTTATTCCCACTGCTATGGGGGAGCAAGAGACCAAAAGAACAGGAAGAATTGGAAGGTTGGAAACGTACTCAAGGAGCTGCTGGCCTGCTGAGCTGCACAAATGAGGCATCGAGAGCTGTCATTCCTGCCACCTGCAGCACAGCCTGCTCCCGGCCTCCAGGCAAGGGGAAATCCGAGGCGTGTCTCCCTCCTGCTGCAGTAATAGGTTTCCTTTTATCACACCACCATAGGAACACCAGGGTTTATCCTTTGTTTTTGAAAATGGTTGAGTGGGCAAGAAAATAAAACACATGGTTTGGGAATTCCCCGGCTGGGATTTCCCCTATCATCCTGTGTAAAACTTCTGCTTCTTAAAAAAAAAAAAAAAAGGAAAGAAAAAAAAAAAAAAAAGAAAAGAAAAGAAAAGTAAGCACAGAGACATAAATGATTAATTTAATTCTCCCTATATTTTACTCAATGCTGCTACACCAGCATAAGATGTTCAGGCTAGTACTGCAGGCTGAGGAAGTGAGCTTCAGCTACCAAAATGAAATCCTAGTTTCTGCAACCCAATTTATATTATCTTCATCCCTTCTTGGCTATTTATAGTAACTTCATGGAGAATGTGAAAAAACAATGTAGAATATGCACAGGTACTGGGGGTGTTTGTTGATTTCTTTGCATAATTCAGAGTAGCTGAGAGTGAGTCAGCAAAAGAGTAAGTGAAGCCAGGCACTTTAACACCCAGATTTATCTCTAGATCACCTCCTCTCAGGTCCTCATCAATCATCAACCAAGGAAGTGACATCAGAGGAAAGAAATGATAGCGCCACCAGCAAAAAAGAAAAAATAATTAATGACTTTATTTTTTTTTTTTTAGTTCAGTTGGCCATCTGAGGTGCTAAAATCTCAACACCAATGAAGCAAGTGTGCATAAAAACAAATGATAAAACACAACCAAATAGAAGAAAACAGGCTGGAACAGAGTTGGTTTTGTACAGGTAGGGTATTCGCTTTTCTGTTAACGCTCCATACATGCCAACCGTAAAAGCCTTGAACAATCTGAATATCAGAGTTCACGTTCACACAAAAGGGCAGATGCCAAAGCAACTCCTTTTGCCTGGATTAGACTTCACACACACACGCATGCACCCACAGATACAGAGTATTTAAACTACTGCAATGCCATCAGAACATGGCATCCTCCCCTTCACACCTGCTTTCAGTGACATCCTCATCTGCCTGCTACCCTGCCTAGTACCTGCCAAGCAGGCACATACAGGCAGGGTAGCAGGCTTGGACAATCCAAAAGCAGGAACTTTTGGAAAGCTTCCCATCTCTGTTACTTTGCAAAGGTCAACAGCCAGCAATCTCTTTTTCTGTGAACTATATACAGGCTGGTTTTTAGTATGCTTTAGAGCTCTCTTCCTTGCAGACAGTGACAACTGAAATTCCCATTGCAGCTTTTCAGTTTGCACACGGGAGATTTTACAACGCAACACCTCTCTCAATCCACTGGTGTGTGGTGTAAACACTTAATGGAAAAATCATCTTAGAAGAATGTTAACCAAACAAGGTGTAGCTGCTCACAAAAGGGAACTGCCGGCTGCTCTAGATCATGCTGTCTAGACCACTTAGAATACTTCATCACGTTCAGGATTAGGATGTATAAAAATATTAAAACCCACCAGAGTGCACACAAATGTGGTGACTAGCTCTACGCAAGCACCGTGTTCTAACAGAGGCCTAGGCATTGCACAAAACTCAGATTCTTGACCATGGGGGTAGCCCAAGGATCCACTGGTGCCTTTACATACAAACAAATATTTACAGAAAATGCAGAGACAGAGAGAGAAGGACAGACTTTTAAAACTTGCGGTTTGCTCTAAAATATGTTCAGCAATGCAGTTTATAACATGCCCTAGTGAGACCAGGGGGTATTGGTTAACTGAAAGAAAAAAATATGTCTGAAAGTTGGAGCTGAAATGTCTTGTCACTTGCCCACACATCAGTTCTCTGAAGCTCGGAATTTTACAGCCAGTTGTGACTTTTAATGAGAATATGGTTAAAAGGGACAGAACAGTTTAAAAAAAAATTGGTACTGTGAAAACAGCAGATTAGTTGTTGTGGCAGTCCTCACTCCCCCATCTCCATTTACCTCCTGGG